CTTTTGTTGTGGCAGTGTTACCGTTGGCCAGTTGCATTGTGTAAAATCAAGAAACGTACCTTTCATCGCAGCTTTGCTAACATTTCTGCACATTTCTTTATTACTGTTCTGTGCTGTGATTATCTAGAAGGCAGTAATAAATCACACCGTTGCCAATAAGATGATTCCTAGATGGTTTTGTATGTTGAGTTCAAATCTGAAAGTAGATTTGAACCCAACATTTCAAATTTGGATCAAATCTGTGTCAACAGGATTTATGCAATGATTAGACTCCAGTTCTAGAACAGTTCCAGTTCTAGTTATCCTGGTTTATTTTCCTTCTTAACTTTTCCCAGGTCCTGTGTCGGCTCTTTGTGGAATTCTTTCCTTGGTTTCTTTTGACATGATTTACAGTTAAGAGTTCATCTGCTATAGTGTTTTTTTAGGCCTGCTACTTCGTCTTTTCTCCCCAACTTGTCTAATTTCCTTTATTTCTAAGGACATGCTGAATGACATGGTAAGATATGGCAGGTTTTTTGGCTAATAGCTCTTTGGAAATAACCTTGTTGGTGCAAAAATGCTATTTTTTTATCTGACAAACTGCTTTATCTTTGGCATTTTTAATTGAGTCAGCTAAATAAATGGGAACAAATGATACTTTTGCCACGTGCTGTACAATACAAGAATGTCTAGCTCCTTGTAAGCAAAATGTAAAGAAATTGTAGTTCTTTTCATTTATCTCTGCATGTAAACAAGCTTAATATAATTCGGTGTGTCACCACCAGTGTATATACTTGAATTTTTCTTCATGCTAGGAAGGGGAGACTTCCATGTGTCTCTCTCCTTCCTTCCTTCCTTTCCTCCTGTGAGGTGCACGTATGCAGCTGCACCACTGCACAATTAGCAGTTAGCGTTATACATGTGGATAGCGCTACATAAGTCACGAGTATTAAATTGTTTCCTTACACCGACCAACTTTATGTCTAGAAACTGAGAGTGAAGCCCTCACTGTCTCGCTGCTTTCACACATGTACATGGGAAAACTCAAATAGCTGTCTTTAACCTGGCAGCACACACGTACAAGGTGTGTGTCATGCTCGCTATACCATTGTAGAGTAGCCCGGGTTATTGTCGTGATGCCTACAAAGTGAATGTGTGTCCTTTGCCTAAACCAAATGTGCATCCAAAAGTGAGAATTTGACTCATGCAGATAGTTTGTTTTATGATAAATGTGATGAAAGATTACTTTTGGACAGTACACCAGCACACCTGATTTGCCTGGCTGTAGTTCATGTGTGAAAATGGTTTCAGTATGCTTATGGATGCTGACCACAAAAAATACAGTGGCCTTTTGTTTTTCGGATCTTTCTCATTGGTGGAGCTGGAAAATGTGGCCAAAAAAACCACTTTTGCAACTGGCACGGTTAAACCACGAAGAATACATTTACAGGCTGCAAAAAGATCTTGAGTATGACGTTAAACTCCATGCAGAGGAAATGTTGTGTATAGACCCTTTCCCTTAAGTTGTGGTTGGACAACCAAGTTTATTTTTATTTATTGATTTATTTTTTAAACCATAACCAGTGTCCAAATGTTTAGGTCCACTTTGGATTTTGTGTTTACTGCTTCACCTCCCTGCAATGACATCTGAGATCACACCGATAAGCCAAGTAAC